TCCTAAGTGAAGCTGTTTGTTAAGTGGGAGAAGAAAGGGAGGAAGGGGAGGAGCAGATGGGACCAGGGCAGCCCCGCCCTCACCGGCCCTGGGAAAGAGGGAGCAGAAGCAGCAAGTGCAGAGAGGGACAGACGGAGGCCCTGTGGCTGCAAAGGACACAGCTTCCCGCGACACGATGCTCAGGCACAGCTTGTTCCAGTGACCAGGGTCCCCGGGACGGTCACCACCAAAGTCGCTGCCCCGCCCATGTACCCAGCACTGAGAAAGCGCCTTGGGCTGCTTGGTCCGATGCGTCCTCCAGCATCTCTGTGCAGCAGGCATTGTGACCGTCCTCTGTCCCCAGACCCGAAGCCCACGGTCACAGGCACTTCACCGAGTCACACAGCAGGTGAGAGGCTGACTCTAGATCTGACCCTGAGTCAGACTGTCAGCTGGGAGGGGCCTCGGAGATCAGTCCACCAGAGCACTCAGTGCCCCGAGCCTGAGTTTCTCTCTTTGTACAGTGAGCTGTTGGTGCGGCACAGTCACACCCACGCTGACTGCATCAGCATCTCCTGGACAAACCTCTGTCTGTGCCAGGGCACTGTGGCTCTCAGACACAAGTCAGCCTGTTAGCTGAGGACTGGAGCCCTCACCCGCTCTGGTGCACAGCCAAGGTCAGTGACTGCTGGGGAGGGGAGAGATGGGTTCCCACCGCACACCCGCAGTGCCCAGAGAGAGGGCCTGTGGCCCATGCCAGCTCCTTCTTCCGCCTCCTACAGCAGCGCAGCCACCATGTACCCCTCCCCGAAGCTGTGCTGAGGGACCTGATTGATCACTGCTGTCTCTGGCCACAGACGGCACTTTCACAACATGCACCATCGCCCAGGCTGGGTGTCCACAGCTACGGCTCAGGAAGGAGGAAGTGTAGGTGCAGGGTGGGGGCTCAGGATGGGTGTCACAGCCAAAGACCAAACTGCCTTCTGTTCGTGGCCCTTCCTCAATCCTGGTGTGATGTTCTCCCATTTTTTTCCCGCTTAGCAAATGACACTGTCAAACACCACACACACACACACACACACACACACACACACACACACACTCCTGTTGCCTTTTCTCTCTGAAGGATGAGGTGGGTCTGTCAGCCTCCTAAGTGAACACAGATGAGGGGAACAGGAAGGAGTGGCTGTGCGGTTCCAGGTAGAGATCCAGGTGCCCTGCACTTATAAGGGGATGGGCCTTGCCCTGCAGCTTCCTCCCCCAAAAGCCCAGGGTACCCCTCAGGCCTCCTGAGTGCAGTGTCCTGGCTCTGCCTCCCAGAGCCTGAGCACATGGGGCTACAGGCAGCCCAGACCCTGCGCCTAGCCAAGGATGACCAGCAGAGGGAAGATATGTCCTCTTGTGAGCCCACGAGGACTCCAACTAGATGCCTAAGGACAGCATCCTGCCCTGTGAGCCTGCTGGTCACTCAGCAGGTGGCACCTGCCAGCCCATTCTTCTGCTCCCTGTCATGCTGCAACCTCCCTAGGCCAGGATGGTGCCAACAGGCAGCAGTCAGAGCCCAGAAGTATTCTATAGAAGCCCTCCTGTCCATGAGAAGCCAAGGAGGGCACAGAGGCCACAGAGGGAAGGTGGCTTCCGTCAGAGCTCCTTCCCTGCTGACGCTATTCCAGGCTCTGCCTCTGGTACTGGCTGTGGATTTGGGGAAAACCGACAGCCCTGCGGGCCTCTGGTAACACGGCTGCGATGACCACTATGACATTGATGATAATCTGTCTCCTGGGTGCTGGATGCTGGGCCAGTCCCACACTCTATGTCCTGGAATCCTCAAGAGCCTCAGAACGAAGGTCCTACTTTAACTGAGGAGTGTGGAAAGTGACAGAAAAGAGCTGTCACTTGCCTGTCCCCTGTTTGGGACCTCTTAGTTCTAGTACTGCCTGAAACTGCCAGATTTTCTGGCAGATACCACTACATGGATAAAATATAAAATCTCCCTGTGTTCAGAGGATGGCACTGAAATGGAGACTGTCCTTTTTTATCTGCAAAGGCAAGCGTGTCACAGACAGCAGAGTACTGTGTGCTCCACAAGAGCCTTGTCAGAGGCGCCTCTCGGGGAACTAATGTGGCCCTGATGTGCACTGGCTCAGCCAGCATGGGGATGACTACAACAGTTGAGGGACAGGAAAATCCGTGGTTCCACAGTCTGATAGGAGGAGAGGGGTGGGGAGGACAAGAGTCCTTGGAGATCTTCCTAAGACATAGCAACCGGATTCAGATGTTGCTCCGGACTCAAATTTATCCGGTAAGATCTGCTTGCAGAATTTTTTAGAACTGCTGGAAATAGTAATATATTTGTTTCTTGGGAAGCTGAAATATTAAGAGGGTGAATCTGGGCCTCCAGTGGCCTCCAGCAAGAGAAGCAGAGAGGCTATGGCCTGTCAACATGAGTTAAAGAGCCCAGATTCATCCAATCCCAGAACCACCCTCTTTGTTATTGAATTAGGTTCCTGTTCCTGTACCTGAAAGAGTGACTGCTATCTTAGAAATACTGTGGGACAACAGTAGACAAAGGATAGGAGAGGTCGAGCCATTGCCCAATGGACCCAAGGAGGAATGAGCACCAAGGTTTGAACCCACGTCTGTCCGTTTCCACGTTAAGTGTGATGGGAAGTAACAGTGCTCGCACCTGGTCCACGGGGCCCCTCCAGGTGGAGATCATCACGTGAAGACTCAGTAGCCCAGGCCACTTTAAAGTCACTGCTCTATGATCTCCAAATAAGGCCTCTTCCACGATCCCAGTGCAGGGAAAGAGGGGTTGGTGAGTCTCACACTGGCAAGGGAAAGCTCAGGAACAAAGTGACACAGTCTCCTTGGCTTGCAACCCACCGGCATGAAATAATCTCGTGAGCCCTAAGTAACTTTGAACAAGAAAGGATGTGTAAACCTCATGCATCCAGGAGAGGAGACTCTCTTACAGGCAAGTGCTAGATGTTGCTATCACGTGTCCACTGTGTCTGAGCCTTGATATGGACAAATCCACTCCTCAAATGCTCTTCTTCTTCTTCCTCTTCCTCCTCCTCCTCCTCCTCTCCCTATAGCAGCACCTATGTAGTGAGCATATGCAGCTGTAGCTGAACACTTTACGCATACATCCTTGTATTTATTTACTCTCTCGAGGCAGCCCTATGAAGCAGCCATTGTTATTCCAATTTTGCACAATGAGAAACTGAGGCATAGAGGGCAAAAATGCTAGAGCTCACACAGTTACCAAGTACCAGGGCCAAGGTTCGCCTTCAGCCTCTCTGGCCCCAGAGACTGGGCCCTTAACCACCTCAACACACAGAGCTTGCTGAAGTACAGTGAAGAAGCAGAGTGAGTGACTGTGAAGGATGGAGAGCTCAAGCAAAGGATGTAGGCTGGGCAGGCCATGGCCAACTTGTTTATAGAAGAGCGCTTGGTCTCAGTCTTCAACCAGTATGTGTGGAGCACCCACTGGGTGCCAGGTAGGGGTCAAGGTCCTGGATGGGCAGAGACCCAGGCGCACTGCAGACAAGGGCCGGGCTGGGACCAGCACTTCTAACTCCCTTCCTGGAGCTACTCCAGCCCAGGCTGCTTCTTGTCCTTCTCAAGTGGCTCTCTGGAAGCCCTAGACCTTGATTTTATCACCCGTTTGCTGGGAAATAGGAGCCATAAGCCAGGGCTCCACGTACCAATGACATAATTAACTATCTGTTTGAGTCAAATTAGTTGAAAAGCAAGTAAAACGGTAATAATGCTTAATGCCAGTGACCATGTGGTAGAACACACACTCATGCTCTGCAGCTATGGGAATGCCAGTCAGGTGAGTTTTTCAGGAATGCGATAAAGTAAAAGAGATCACAGGGATTAAAAATATTTATGTACTTTGACGCAGTTTTTCTTTCTACTTTTAGAAATCTGTCCTGAGCAAGGGACCAGGGGGTTCAGGCAAGATAATGCCCAAGATATGCATCACAGTGGCTGTCTGCGCCCTCCTTGATAACCATTAAAGTCATCCTTCTCGAAGCTAGACATGTCCCCTGACCCAGCCATGCAGGGCAGCTGACTCTGTGGAGACCCCACTGAGCTCCAGGCCCTTGGCTTCAGAGCAGAGACTGATAAGGAGCAGGTGACTTTCTCCACGTCCCCTCCCTGCTATGTCACTGCAAGTCAGCTGTGTTGCTCTCCCAAGGGCCACAGTCCTGTCAGCCTGTAGCTTTTCAGCTGGGTGCTCTCTGTACATCCTGAAACCTGAGCACAGAAAGGGAGTTATCGGCCCAGGCACCATACCACCAGCCCCTTTGGTCTCCCTGCCCAGGCTCTTATCTCAAGCGTCTGTTGGCCTTCACCCTGTCTCCCTACGGTGGGAGCCCCCATCTCCTACAGAGGCCCCACAAGGACACTGTGCCACCCACTGCCTTCTTCACCGCTCACACTCTGACCTATCTGCTCTCTGACCACACTTTGAAATGGCCTCTGCAGGAACAGCCTACCCCTTGCCCCTCCAGCCACCCACATATGCCTTTGTTCAGTGTCCTCCGGGAGACCTTCCCAGACTCTCTTTCCCTGATCTCAGAGCCCTCAGTAGTCCCATGGCCAGGGCCTGGGTCACCTAGATCCATGTGATCTCCTTTGTTGTATGCAGGTAAGGAGAGGCAGCACGGGGGGTTGGGGGCCAGAAAGAATTGGCTTCAATTATACCTTGTGTCCAGATGACCCCCCAAAGCTTCATTTAATCAGAGGTGGGCTTTTTCAGAAGTCGCTGAATCTATAGTGTGTGATTGAGTCACAGTGCAATGCTAGGATTAAGGGTTAGGGTGACCACTAACTCAGTCCACTAATTGGTTTGGCACCATCCTAATCCCAGTGGCCTGGATACAATACAAGGGGCAGAAAGACTCTTGTCTTGTCCCTCGCTGGCTTGATTTGCTATCTTCTGACTGCCATGAACTGTTTCTCCTCTGCAGTGTCCCTCTGCCGTGCCACCCTGCCTTGAAGCCAGCCAACTATAGACTGAAACCTCTACAAACTGTGAGCTAAATCAACTTTTCCTCATTTAACTCGTGGGTGCTGGATATTTTGTCTCAGCAATGAGAAAAGTAACTTAGGCATGTTCAAATCCCACATCCACTACTCACCAGCTGGGCGAACTTAAACAAATCATTTCACCTCTCTGAGCCTTGAGTCTCTCACATGTGAAATACGCATGACCATGAGAGTCCCTTGTGCTCCAGGCAGCTGAAATGAGCGGACAGATGCAAAGCACTGCGCACAGTAGAGGCCTGGTGACCAATGATGATCACATTGCTCTTGAGTAGTGATGCTTATGCATCTAACTCCCTCCCATCCTGAGAGCTCTAAGGGCAGGGCCTGATTCAACACAGCATCCCAATGCCTGGTATCAAGAAAGATGCGCCCATCCAGGCACTGCTCTGGGTGCTGGAAATGCAGCAACAAGCAAAACACAAACAGACTACCTCATGCCCTTGAGGTCCTGCACAACTCGGGACCAAACTTGGAATTGATCTGCCTGGAGACACCCAAGAATTGAGAATGACAGAACAGTGAGGACAGCCACCCCCAGCCCTGACCATGCCGAGCCCTCCTGCAGCTGCAGTGGGCACTTTCTCGCAGGCATGGTGGAGAAAGCTGCTAAAATCAAAAGTGGGAAGAGGCCTCTCCTCACACGGATGGGAGCACATGCCCTTCTCTTATGTGATCCCCCAAAACACCCAGGGGAGAAGGCATCATCCCCTTTACAGATGGGGAAACTGAGGCATGGGACAGGTATAGGAAACTCCTAGCAGCCAGAGGAAGAGCCAGAATTCAGACTCAGGTCCATCAGCCCCAATCCCTGGCCCCAAAGGGCCCCTGGGGTGATCACACAAAACCTCAGCAGGACCAGGCCCATTTCTCCTTATAGAGCCCCCCAGAACACCCACAGCCAGACACAGGACCCAAGCAGGCTGAGTACAAGGCCCCTCATCACTGCCATCTCCCTCAGCCTCCCCAACCAGCCTCCCTCACAGCCTGCAGCCCAAGGTCCTGCTGCTGACTCAGCCAGACCCCGCCCTTGTGTTCAGTTCTGTCTCATTCTATGACCTTCATCTACTTGGCTTTATCCAATGTGATGCTCACAACGGGCTGTCACACCTAGGGCCTCTGTGTGCCACCTTAGGTGCTGGGGTCTTCAGGAACCAGTCCCTCTGCTGGTCAAAAGGCCGTGAGAACCTTTCTGGGGCTGAGAGTCAGTCACTGTCCTCTTTCCGCCTCCGGTCCCCACCCCACCTGCACTGTGTGAAGGTGGCTGTTTGTGGGTTCAAGAATGCAAATTTATTCTGAATTTCCAGTGTCACACGCTCACCTCATCTGCATGTTCCAATTTCCAGAACAAATATTAGGAGACAAATCTTTGGAGATGTTCTGCGTGTACACAAGCTAATTCCTCTGGCAGGACCACCCTCAGAAGCACATCTCACACTGGTGCTCTAGGTGGGGCTGGTGACAGTGACAGGCAGCAGACAGCCCAGCAGAGGAGCCTCTGTAGTACGGGAAGGGCACCTGGGGTGCCTGCAGGGAAGTCCTACGCAGTCTTGGCAGGGAGGTGCAGCCCCTCTGTGTCAGACTCTAATGTCAGTCAGGGCAGATCTCAGTCTTATGACTCTTGAAGAAATGACTTCTCCTCCTCAGTACAACTCATGATTACTCCTCTGCAGGCCATCAGATGGCCCTGCAGACTGGAGGACAGCACCAGGGTTGAGCACATGATGAGCCTCAACCCAGAAACTCCGCCGCACTGCCTGCTGGGAGCCAGGCTCTGTGTACAGCGCTTTGCACAGGTCTATGTCCTCACCTGGGCCATCGTCTCCCACTTCACAGACAAAGGAGCTGGTAGGCAGAGAGGTTAGGTAAGTAACTCACCCTGCATCACCAGTACCTGAGGCAGATTTGCAATCATGCAGTGGCTCCAAAAATCTGTGAATTTGAGCATTGCATTTGAATCTTTCCATCAGCCCTCTGAGTGCCTCCTCTAGGGGAATATCAGGTGATGGTCCCTTCTGGTACCGGCTCCCTCATCTGGCCCTCGCTCTCTTTTGTCCCCGAAGCTCTGCTGACAACCAGACCACAAGGAAATGCAGTTGATGCCCATGCTGTTCCTGCTACCTGTAACACCCTTCCCACTGCCTCGTCCCTCTAGCAGACTCCTATTCGTGCTTCAAGACCCAGGAAGGCTGCACGTTCATGGACAACAATCAGATATCTGCCCAGTATATCAGGCAGTGGGTGGGTAGAGAAGGGAGGAGGATCTTCCCATCCTCAGGACTGCCTGCCCTCTCTGCTCACTCCTAACCCTGTGATGTTGGCGTTATCGCCTCATTTTAGGACCCTTTCTCCAGACAGGAGAAGTTTTCTGAGGCCACAGAATCCGAAAGAAAGAAGCAGTCTGGGAACTTCAAACTCAACAGTCCTGGAATTCTGACCCAGGCAGCCAAGATCACCCTGAGGGGTTAACACAAGAGCCACTGGAGGCTGAGTGTCCCTCCCCATCCTCACGGCCCCTCTTCCAGCAGCTGTGTGGTGGTAGAAACACTCCTCTTGCGGCAGACCCCATGCAGCCATTGCATCCACCGTCGTGGTGATTAAATCCAATTTCAATGTAAAAGCAACACTTGAGATACAAAGGTGACACATGGTGATCAACTCAACCCAACAGGTGACGCACAGATCTGTGTCACCGCCATAACCCATCAGTCATCATTTGAATTCTCCCCTGACTTGGAGACTCACTCACAGCTGCCCAGCTCTGCCCAGTGAGCAAAGTATTACAATTTTATGACAGGTGAATTGAGCTGGCCAGAGTGAGGATGAATTTGACCCAAAGCTTGGAGGCCCCCAGAGGTGAAACTGGATGGGCGAGGGTATGGACCCCTTTCTCCCCCACCAGCTGCAGATCTGACCAGACACCTGTCACAGCCCCATCCACCTAGATAGCCTTAGCCCAGCACTCAAGGCCCTTATCCTGCCTCCCTGTCCACCCCCACCTCCACCTCCACACATGCGCCTGTGTCAGGCCACAGTGACCCAGCAGGGCCGGGCCTGGATGCACCCAGAGCAATGCCCGGCCTATTTGCAGGGGCCTCCATCTGAGACAAATGGTTGGAGTCATTTCCTGCCTTGGAAATGGCTGGAGTCGTTTCCATGCCCTGTCTGCCATGCGTGGGTGGGTAGAATCCGTGGAGTTTGTCTCATGGTTCTAATGATGTCCATCTCCAGAGCCAGGTGCCTCTGAGACCACAGAGACACCGTCCTGTCTCCACAGGCACCCTTCAGAGACACGGGCTGTCCTGGGGAGCCAGGGCACCTCTTTGACCCTAAAACGTCTACTCTCCCTTCTCTGTCCCCCACATAATCTGTCCCTGCCCACGTCCCCTTGGACTGTATATCACTTGCCAAATCCATAGCACCAGGGGAGGGTAAGATCTGGATTCCTCAGGCCAAGGCACAAAGGTGACGTTAAAATGGCTCTGGCATGGAAGCTGGGCCTGAGTGCCACCCTCTACCACAGCCTTGGATGTGCCCTTCTCTCTCTCTCTCTGAGCCTCAGATATTCCTGGTGAGTGACGGGTATCAACCTAATGTCTCAGTGTTCAAATTCCATGAATTTCTTGAGGCACGTGATGGGCAAGTATAATGCTGCTGTTATTGATACAAACATACTAATTGGGATGATGATGACGATGATGATGGTGGTGGTGGTGATGGAGAGCAGGAGGACAGAGGGAAGAGGATAATGGTGACACCAGGTAACCATGGGGCACACACTGGAAGCCCCTCACACACACACACATTCCTCTCTCACTGCACACATAAACTTGTGCAAGAAAAGTTTTCCTACTCTCATCCTTCCTATGAGCAAACTGAGGCACGGAAATGTCAGGTGACCTGGAAAAGTTCACACAGTCGCAACCATGAAAGGGGCTCCAGCGAGCGGCCCTAACCCAGCTCTTCCCAGCCTGGCGGTGTCTCAGCACACTCAGAAACAAAGCTGCGAGCCGCCCTCCTCCCTACGCGCTGCTGGGCAGAGTGCAGCTCATCATCAGCATCGCCGAAATGACCTTCCGGTCCACAGTGTGGCTGCAGCCTGCTGGGGGCCATCCTTCTCTTGGCCTCCAAGGCCTTCAGTGTCATGTATAAGATTTATCACACCCATTCTCCTGTGTGAGATTTATCACATTCAGTTAAGGACCCAAACTGTGGGCCTAGACGGGAAGCTGCCAATGGCGGGGCCTCCTAAAACCTCCTGGAAACAGCATTTCTGTGGTGGGGTGGCCAGGACTGCAATAGAATCGGTGCCTGGGTGGGTGCCCTGGAAGCCAAAGGAAGGCTGCCTTGGGGGCCTGGTTCGCTGTTGCTGAGAAGAGAAGAGGGTGAAAACCCCACCTCCAGGCTGAGGCCAGGGAGTCAGACGCCAGCCCTGTCTCCCAGCTCAATGCCATGGAGACAGGACAGGAAGCGGCTCTCCCCATGCCAGAGCCAACTTGTTGCCCGGCGTCCCATGGCCCCAGAATGGCGGAGGGTGGTGGGTTCTGATTGCTCCTTGTTCTCTCTGCCTGAGCCTCCTCTACCAGTGCTGTCTGCTCTCAAGACAGCGCCCAGCACAGCAGGCAGCTTAGTAAGTACACACACTTTATTAATGACAATTGCCTTGTTACATATAATAATAATGTTTCCTGCACTTATTTCTTCCACCTAACTAAAATTCTATATCTCTTCACCAACATTGCCCTATCCTGCAATATATATAATTACAAGGACAGCCAAAAACAAACAAATCCTTCTATGAAAACAAAGTTAATAACAGTAAAAAAGGGATCCTTCTTTCAAAAATGCTCTCCTGTCCTCTCAGAGGACAGCTCCAGATTTATGATCTCCAGCTCCCACTTCCCTATGTGATCAAAATGCCACCTTCAGCTTTAGTGAAAACAAGAGTTCAACTTCCTCCCTTTCCTGGAGGCTCCCCCAGGTCCCCCAGCTCAGGGCTCAGTCCCTCCCACTGGCACTGACTCAAACCTCTGGACCCCCAGTGATTGTTCTTGTCCTTCGTCCCCACATCTGATCAGCCCCTTCTGAAGTTCTCCTTCCAAAATCACCCCTGGGGGCCCTGTCCCTTTATCTCTCACCCATTGCCTGGCCTGACCCTCTCAGCTGGTCTGCCCTTTGCCACAACTGCCCCTCCACTGACAGCTTTACCCTGCCTGGTCCCCGTCTTTCTCCCAGGTGGTTAGACCACATCACACCTCTGCTTAAAACTCACCCACCACCTACAACTAACCATATAAACTTAAGCTCCCTCCCTCCAGCCCACCCTGCTGCAATGGCGTCCTGCCCACCTCTGTCCCTTGCTGGTGATAGGAGCTCCCTCTCCCTCTGCTCGAGGGCCCATCACCTTCTCAGTGCTAATGCCACAGGTGTCATTCCAGTGCCATCCCTCCCCGGGCACCACATTCAGGTAACTCTCCCCTCTCAAAACTGGAGACCTTGGGGGACCCTCTGAATCCTCCCCGCCCTCCCCCTTGTGCCCCAAGAGCTGCACCAAGAGGCTCCTTGCCTTCTGCCTCCCAGGTGGACTTGGTCACCAGGGAGCCCCGGCAGGTGAGGGAAGGAGGAGAGGGAAGTTGAGGCATTGTCCCCTGGGTCCTGCTCTGAGAGGACCTAGACCTAGCTCTGTCAGCTGGGTTTCAGCAGGTGGTCAGGTGGCTCCTCTCCACACAGAACCTTTCCCAACAACCTCTCCAGCCTACTCTTCCTCTAAATCCCAGTAACTCTCCTCTGCTGGCCCATGCAAGCATAGGGATGACCAAGGAACCCCTCCACTGCTGGGTGCCAGGAGCCCACAGCACCACCTCTGGGGGCTCCCCGCGCCCGCCCACACCTGCACACACAGTCCCCTTTCCAGCCAGTCCCACACAGTCTTCCTGCTGGGTCCTCTCAGAGACACGGCCTGCCCTTCCCACCGAGTCCCAGCACTCGGTTCCTCACCTGCCAAACTTCTCATCCTCCCAGATTGTTGTTTGTTACCATGTCCCCCCACCAGTTTCTAAGCTCCCTCAGAGACGGGGCAATTTATAACAGATGATCTCATATGCCAGGGGAGTAGAGCAGACACCCATTCTGGGAAAGTTCACCCTTCAAGTCATGCTGACTTTTAAATGCCCGAACATGGTATTTCCCAAAGTGGGATCGAGCCACAATCATCTGAGAGGCGTTAACGGCTGGCAACACAGGCAGACAGACGACGGCAGCCCGATTTTCTGGGTTGCACTGAATGCCTGTGACAATTTCACCCCAGGCTGCCTTGACATCAGGTTCTGCTGTGTCCTTGGGCCTGATCTCTGGGACCCAGCTCACCTCTGTCCCCACTCGCCTGCTCCCCCATGCAGCCATGCCCACCCCTTAGGTACTGCAGCATGGGATTCTGGTGCAGCCGTCCTAGACCTGGGATCTCCATGGACCAAGCAGAATTCAGAGAGCACCAGCCATGGGTGAGATCAAACCAGATCTCTCTTCTATCAGTGACTCAGCTGGGCCAGATTGCACCCACACCCTGTCAGTTCCCTCAACTACCCCACTTTTCCTCCTACCTGGAACCCCTTTCCCAGGGCTCTCCGTAGCCCACCCTGCACTGGTGATGAGGTTTGCAGATTAAATAGGCACCGCCTACGGATGACCGTCTCTCTCTGGTAGGTGAGAAAGGAGGAGAAGATGTCAGCTGGGCTCTGACCCGGGATTCCTGTGATCTCACACTTGTCTCTGCTGGCCTACTGCTGGGTGTTTCAGTCCCCACGTGGCCACAGTCTGCCTGACCAGGGAAGACGAAGCCCGAGACAATGCCAGCGTGCCCTTGCTCTGATCCACAGGTTTCAGGGTTCACCAGGCCATGGGGAGGAATGAGGCCCCCACATGACAGAGCATGAGAGACAGGGGTCAGTGAGGAGGGCCAGTACCTGGTAATGGACGAGGGATGGGGGTGGGGAGCCAGAAGCTCCTGCCCTCGCAGGTATCATGGCAGGTGACGCCCAGTAAGCAGGCTAGGCAAAGCCTGTAGCCTGTGTGGGAAGGGACGGCTGAGTCCCCCAACATCCCCCCAAGGAGTCAGTGTCACCACCATTGCCATTTCCGGGAGAGGAGAACAAGTTTTGGGGAGCCTGTGTCACCTGTCCAAAGCCAGCAGCTTGTGAGTGACTATAAAAACTGTCACTCCAATTACCCTGAGGACAAACGGATGTCTGGAGGACCCTCACTGTCCTCCGTGGATCAAATGACCAAGGTCAAGGACTCAGCACCCCTGAGTGTCAGGATTTAGGAAGAAGCCATTGACATCGCATCTGTCACCTGGAACACCTGTGTCACCTGGCCCACATGGTGAGGTCTGATGTTTCGGGACTAGAGGCAGGGACAGGGGAGAACTGCCAGTTCCATTACCCTCCCTGACCAGGCGAGTAGCTGGGAGCTCCATTTCTTTCCTCTTTTCTCACCTCCTTTCTGTCTTGGCTGGCTGTTCTTGCTCAGCTACAGGGAGCAGAGCATAGGTTTCAGCTGCTTTTCCCTGCATGGGCCAGCAAAAGCACTGAGTTCCAGATCGTGCATGGAAAAAGCACAGAAAGGCTAAGAAACTGGGGGAGTAGAAGTGGCCACAGATTTGAAGAAAAGAGGGAT